GAATTAATCTGTGTTATCTTACGCAGTGAGGTGGCAGAGCAGTCCTTTCCTGAGGAAGAGAGAAATTGTTTCAGAGTAAGATATCACTATATGTGTGTTTATAAAATATCAAACTAATTTTAACCTGTACAAAGGCTGTATTTCAGCTGTCAACTGGCAACTTCAATTTGTAACACCTAATGTAATATTAAAAAGCTTATAATCCTAAATGAACTGGAAATACAGAATCACTAACACCAGAGGAATCAGAAAAAGTTGGCTATACTTGCTTAATGGTACTTTAACTGAGAGTCTTTTTGTTGGAATGAGCTGATACCTACAATATAAGCCCCATAAAACCACTGGAACAAAGTGCTACAGCAACCTACATCTTCAACTCAATCCTAAATTTGTGTATCTCCAACATAAGCAAGATTACTATTATTCTACTATGAAGTTTTTGCCAGCTAAAGAGTATTTTTATTCCAAGTGTGCAGCAGTGTTAGTGTCAGTTCACAGAACAGCCATACAGGTAGGCAGGTGTTGAGCCAGGAGTTGTATGCCTGCTGCTGTGCATTCTGCTGTATTAAATTGTCAATATACTGGCTTAAGTAGTCCCCACTGATTCAGTTTTTATGATTTTTACTGTGTGAAGACACCAAGCAATAAAAAATGTTTTTGAGCCACTGTGGCCAAGCCTTTTCTTCATAGAAACAGAAGACACGAAGTTTACCAGTGACTATAGTTTAAGAATTATCAGGCTACCAGATTTGCTGGGAAAGTTGCTAACTCAAATTGAGAACTGCAGCTCACTGTTGCTCCATGCACACAATTTTATTCTCCCAACAGCAGGGAGTGCAAGACTCGCAACAAAATACACACAAATCTACTTTCATGCACCACCACCCTTACAACAACATCCCACAGATTAGTGGACCTCATAACCTCCAAAATATACTCTAGTTTAAACTTACCTCAAAGTTGGTGTTATTTCTCACATGCTCCCCTTCAGCTTCACTCTGTAACAATGATTTTTTTTATTAACACTCCGCATGGCAGTGTTTCAAGAAAGATTGAAATCTGTGTACTGTTTCAGATCAAAGGTCCTCCTCAGTCTCTTTCAGAGAGATTCCCATTGCTTAGAACTAATCATCATGAACAGTACATGCTTATAGAAGCTTGAAGTTGTTACTGTTGTTTTCCCTCAGTGGACGCTCAGTATTTCAGACTTTGCCTCATTCACATGAAGTAAAAACTCATCTTGCCACAGAGACAAGTAATTTATTACATTATTCAGTAATAATCCTTGCAAAAACCCACTGCATGAGTTACCCAACAAACAGTTGAACAGTAACTGTACTGTTTTCTATCAGCAGCAGTCACTGATGCAAGCTCTGCACTGCTAGGCTTAGGCGTTCTTTCCAACAGAAGCACTTACATATTTCAACTGGTCGACACATCTCATTAAAATATTTCATGGCAACTGAGAAGCAAAGAGCTTACCAACCAAGTATCTGGCACAAGATCTTGGGCAGTTCTTCTGTTCTCAAATCTAAGATAAACACAAGGATGTAAGTTCTTAGTACAATGCTAGTGCTGCATTACAACCACGAGACTTCCAGAAACTCCTTTTTCCTTCTGGAAAAATTATCACCACCTGTCTTTGGTGATTCCACACAGGAATTGAAGCTACTGGTGCTCACAAATGCGATCAGCAGACGAACGTCTGCCATTTATCTGGCAGCACAGAAGCATTCACATTCCACCAACTCCATCCCAGAAAAAAGCAGCAGCTACCTCCAAAGCATTCTCCTCTAGGAAAGATCCTAAATTACAGTTCAAAAATAGGTAGCACTTTTCCTATACCCCCCTAGAGAGCAACTTCTGTAAAAGCCTCAAAGAAAAGTTGTTCCCCTTTATATCCATTGCTACACAGAATTCCCTCCCATTGCAAGTTATTAATGATCTATTACCAGCACACCTATGGCTACTGCCAGACACAGGGTTTTTCAGTGAAGAGAAGTCTACATTAGTAGTTTCAGGTCAGACATTTGACAACATCATTATAACCCTGTAAGACATGCCTAGCCTGTCTGTGCAATTACATTCTTTACAGAGCACTCAAATAATTGGAGCCTCAAATACGAAATTCAATTCCCAGTACCTTGGTAGGTGAAGCCTGCTGGCTGCTATAAAATTATCTACTGCAGGAGGTTAAGAATAATCCTGCAGCTACAAGATGGCAGCATAATTAGAGGCTAACATCTAGCATCTTCCCCATCACACGCACACAGCCATGACCAGTAATAGAAATTCACTGGCTACTCACTTCTGCCTGCAGCACAACCAACTGCACCACTTCACAGTTCCACAACAGTACTAGAAGAAAAAGTAGTCAGGAGAGCACAAAAACAAACACAGAAGAATGAAATCTAGTCAGATGCCTGAAGTCAGATAGAGCTAATTGCAGACCTCCATGATTGAAGTCAGGGTATTTATGTCTCATCACACAGGCAGCCTACGCATCCAGTCACTGGACAGCTATCTGCTCTGGGCTATGGCTGCTTTGGGAACAGGATGGACCCAGATGTGCTGTGCTATCAACAATTTCACAAGCACACATGCAGATTAACAAAGCCAGCCCATGTAGGATGGGCCTTTATCCAGCTCTTCTTTTACACATCCCCCTGGACTGGCTGAAATGCAATTAGCAGCCAGTGCTGCCCTCTTTCCCCGCCCTCAGCTGAGTATTTCATTTCACAAGCACATTCTAGGCTTGTTAATGCTAACACTCGAAGTTAAAAACAAATACTTACATCTTGATGAGAAGCACTTTCAAAGCCTGCAAAGGAAAAGCTGCCATTAGATGTGATCCAACAAAAATCTTTAGCTCAAGAACAACCACGTCAGTCAAATACTGTATCAGTGTTTAGTCAAGTTTTATCCTCATTGGGATCAGAGACCTGATTCAACATCATTTACAGCAGACTGCAACATTCCCATCCTTCACAGGGGAGCCCAAATCTAGCCCCCAGCTATCCTCAGCATCTTTGGGATCTTACTCCTCAATTGCTAGAATTGCAAAAAGCAGCAAAAAAAAAAAAACCTCCAGTAACCTCAACTCCATGCAAACATTCAAGTTGGCCTAAACCAGAAAAAGCATTTCAGATACTAAATTAGCACTGCTGCATTTACTGCTCAAGGCATTTAGTCTCAGCAGGAACATTCTAGAAATCTTAACACTTCACAAAATTTCTACTTTACTGGGAAGTATACAGGATCGTAAGACATATTTAGGGCACGTGTCTTTGCTGCAAATTTTCCAGAAGCAATATGGTTCTGCATTTTCCAAATGCAAGCCTAAATGTAGCACTGTAACTGACCTAGTCCACAAAAGCAGCACAGTCAAACACAGCCTTCTAAAATGTGTTCAATTACCTTCAGTTATAACAGCAGCATGTTCACCGACATCAGCAAAGGTAAATCAGCTCTGCTGGGCACAGGCACTCTTCCATCTCCAGGCAGGGCAGACTGCAAAGCAACAACATGGTGAATACAGTGTTTCACCCAAGCTTCCCATGTGAACTGTCTGCCAGAATTACCCCAGGCACAGGAGGCTGCATCAGATAGGAGCGAAAGACCAGTAGAGTGATCATCACAAGTCATCTGCTGAACTATGTTGTCATCACACACAGCCTTCTGACGGGTCAGGGACAGAAAGCTAGCTTGTGCAGCTGCAGTTAATGCAATATTTACCTTGCACATTCATCTCGTGGCTCTTCCCAGTGCCTGCAACAAAAGAAAATCAGATTCCCTCTGCCTTCTTAGTCAAGTCTAGACTCCCTAGCAAGGAGCCACATACAACAGCAAGATACATCAGATAGGAGCGAAAGACAGAACATGGCTCATCATGAGACAATCTGCTGAACTATGTTGTCATCACTGTATCTGCTTTGGAGTAATAGTATCAAGCAGTCATCTAGCAAGGACTTTGAAAAGCTCAAATTCTCAAAATGAAACATGTAAAATCTCTGTACAGTGCTTGAAATACTAACAAGTACCCATTTCTGTGCATCAGGGGCAATGAATCCCAAAGCACTGCCATCCCATTTTATGCATCCCACCCTTTTCACTGCAGTGACTCAGCAGCTACACAGAACAAACCCAAACACAGACTGCACAAAGCTTCTTACCAGGTGATGTTTCTTCCATGAGTGCATTATTCAAATCCTGGAAGAAAAAAAGCTTATGAAAGTAAATTCAAGGCCAAAATATTTTATCAAGGTGAATTTTAAGCTGCTGTGCCTCAGATAGAAATTATGGTGGTTTGAGCTCTCATCATTTTCTTGGTCAAGAGTAGCAAACTATATGGTCATCATTGTGGCACCAGAGGATTAACTTAGGGAATAAAGTCTGCCTACTGAGGTCATTAAATTAAAAATAAAATCTAAACAGTGAGCCCTTAAATGTTTGATTTTTTTTCCCCAATAAGTTTTACCTTGTGAAGTAGCATCAAGTCTTCATATTCAGCAGCAGGCCTGAAAGTCAGACAGGACATCATCAAATGCCTGCAGAACTAGGGAGCATCTCCAGCTGTCACTGCAGTGACAGTAAGCATGGAAAAAGCCTCAGCACAGAGTTTTCAGAAATCACTTCTGTCCACTACTCTAATACTGAAAACATCACAGGCTCTCCAGTTTAGTGACAAATCCTGATCATTACAGGTCCTTTTTAGAAACATGCATTGAGCATGTTTTCCCCAATCTGTTGGTATGGATGGTGAAATATCAGTAATGAACAGACACACATCTAGTGTACTCTTGGTCTGGTTAGAAGCTGAACTAATTTTCTAGAACCGGGAGCCTGAAATCCAATTTCCAGAAAAGGAACATGTGGCTTTTCCCAGCAGTAGAATGAAAATTGCTTAAGAGACATCAGAATTGCTTTACACGGGTCCTGCAATTTCTTCCTGAGATAGAAAAGTAATCCAGGCTGTTATAGGTAGAATGATGGACCAAAAGTTAAGGAGTCAATTATTGAATTTATTAATTATAATGAGCAAAGAACAAAGAGGCAATGCAGCGCTGGGCGACAGGGGACTCTGCGTTCCACCAACTGCCGCAAGGTTTGAACCAGTACCCGATCCCTTTATGCAGTTCGTGTCCTTCCGTTTTCCCATTGTGGTGTACTCTGCACATGATCCGGCTGTTGCTAGGGGGTCTTCTTCTGCCTCCCGGTGGTCGTATGGGTTGAAGTAAGTAGTCTTCCTCCATATCTTTTTCTTGACCCCTTCTGGGGGTTTCCATTTATGGTATGTTGCTCGTATAAGCGAATCTTATTGGTCGATTACACAATCGCTAACCTTTGACTGTATTTGTGCGAGTTCCCTGTTTGTGCAAGCTTCCAGTAAGGCAGGTTTGTGTTTTCACAAGCTAAGCTTATTAACTCTGGACACAGGCTAGTTGCTCTAAGTGCACCTACACAGTACATATTATTTTTCAATTTAAGCTCTATATTACAAAAAACAGCACTCACCTATTTTGAAGCCGCAGGAGAGAGAAGAGTGTAAATGGTTCATCTTACACTGAGAACAAAAGAGCATGCGTCAGCTTTTCTATTAAGTCTGAGGATATTATGGTCACACATTTCCTTTGAAAAAGGAGGAAGCGCAACTCAAAGCAACACCCTGAGCCTCGCTGCAAAGCTTCCCCTTACTGAAACGACACCAACTTGGAGACAAACCCACCCACATAACTACTTGCCCATATTGCTTACCAGGAACAGGTCAGAATCACTGAACTGTTCCAACTGACTGCAGCCAGCGGGTGGATCCAGCAGCACCAGGAGCACTGAACACGTGGTGCCTCAGCCACTCCATCTGCCTGCCTGCCTCCCTCCCCGGTTCCACGTCCAGCTCAGATATGTTGGTACTCATCAGCCTCTCAGATGTCCCTACCAACATAGTTTTCATCATGTGCGGGCACATGGAATGCCAAGGGAGCTCTGTTACTCTTTCAACAGCACAGGAGGTTCGAGGCCTTCTAGAGCTCAGCCTACAACCCGAATAAAGGGGCAGGGGCACCTCCTCACTTACAATACACATTTGAAAGCCTCCCCAGAGAGGGTTCTCCCTCCCCAGCATCACTAAAACCACTCGTTCACACCTGAGCAGGCAACAGTGAGCCCTACCACCTCCTGGAAATCTTTAAGTAGAGCTGCAGAGCGCAATCAGCCAGTGCTCGTGTCTGCACCGCCTGTTTTCCCCGTGCGCTTCGCTCTGAGCTTTTCCGAGCTGCTCTCGCCGCACAAAGCAAAGCGGCGGCAGCGAAGGGCGCTCCCACCCTCACAGTGAGCCGAGGCCTAACGGGCGCGCCGGGCCCCGCCGCCACAATCCGTCTCCATCTTCCTCTTCCACCTTCCATCGCGAACCAACAACGACCCGCAGAGCCTCCACACCCCCCACCGAACGCGCCGGAGCGGGGCTGAGCGGAATAACCCCACACGCGCGCCGCCGGCGACACACAGAGCTACGTAACCATACCTGCCCCCGTGCCACAAGCGGAAAGGCAGGACGCGTGCCCGCACGCCCCTTATATAGCCCCAATGCAGTCACGTGACCACGGAGCGGCCCCTCCCTCCGGGCTGGGGCGGGATGGCGATGCGCGGCAGAGTGGGCGGGAATTTTCTTCCGGGGTGGGGGGGCGGTTTCGCTTCCGGGCCGGCGCTCGGGGCCGTGCCCACCCCCGGGAGGTCGGTGCCGGCGGCGGGGCGGGGCGCGGCGGGGCGGGGCGGGGGGAGCGGGGCCGCCCGTGACAGCGCGGCCGCGCCGTACCCCCGGCAGCCCCGGCGGGGCCTCCGCTGTGCCGCCCGCCGTGTCGGTAAGGAGGCGGGGGAGGCGGGCGGACTGTGGGAGGCGTCGGGTTGTCCGAGGGGCTGTCGCGGGCTGGGGCTGGCAGCGGCACCGGCCGTCCGGGGGGAGAGCGGGGCCGGGGGCTGCAGCTCCTCGCGGGGAGCGGGGGGACGGCGCTGAGCTCCGCTCTCTGGGGGCGGCGGCGGGGCTCGGGGGGCGGCACGGAGCTGTGTCAGGGGAAGGGCGGGGGGGGGAAGGGTCTGCGCTGTGGGCACGGCGGGCGTGGAAGTGGCCGAGCCGTAGGGAAGGGCTTGGGGTGCCGTGTGGGGACGGGCTGGGCTGACGGGTCCCTGTGCCAAGGGAGCGATGCGCTGCTGCTCGCCTTCGGGTTCGTGTCGCCGGGCTTCTGCTCTCCGTAGCTGTGAGGGCTAAAAATTAACCGTAATTGCCTCATTCGTGGAGAGAAGGCCTTGAGTCATCGCTCGTTAGCGATTTGGTGAGGAAGAAACGAGCTTTGTGCAGCTCGCTGGTGGCTGAGGAAGGCAGCATCCCGGGAGGTGGCCGTGGAGGGGCTGGAGGAGCACGGAGATGTGGCACTGAGGGACGTGGGGTGGGCTGCGGTTGGACTTGGTGAGCTGAGAGGTCTTTCCTGGCCTTCATGATCCTGTGATCTCTCCTCACAGTTCACGGTGGGTTTTGAAAGGTTTTTATTCAAGTCCCATCTTAATTTGGAAGCCGTCGGCTTGGCCAGTGACAGCACATCTCCTCAGCCCCAAGGCGCAGTGCTTCTCAAATCAACTGCTGCCGCTGTGCTCAGCGCCCAAATTTTCTGACAAGGGAGATGTTGGTCTCCCAAGTTTGACATTTTCCATCCAGCGCCCAAACGTGACTGTTTCTGCCCACAGATACACCCAGCCTGACCTCCACCCAAAACCCTGAGTGCTGGCGGGGGGTTCCTGCTGCACTCCGTGGTGGCTGTGAGCCACCTCACAGTGGGGAAGAGGCATTTTCTGAGATAAGCCCAAATCGCAGCTGCTGATGCTTTAAATTGTATTAAAAATAGACAAGCGTCTTCAGCATGCTCTCTGCGAAGAGCAGTGCTCAGCAGGAGATCCCTCTTATCCTCCAGGTGAGGAGTGTGCAGTGCGGTGCCAGGAAACACAAAGGCTGAGGCTGCCGTATAAGCTCGTTATCCTCTGCCTCCGTGGTCAGCGTCCAGTCTTCTGAGCAGAGAGATTACGCCTCGCCAGCATCTAATTGAGGCTGCCCCCAAAACGTGTCACAAATTGCTGCTCCCTGGGTACGGAGGCAGCGACGTGTCCCTGCTGTTGGAGCAAGCGCACAAGCGGAGTTTGGGGCTCCCCAGGGAGCAGCTGACTTCTGACCCCGGCTGCACACAGCCCCCATCGACAGGCAGCGTCTGACTTTTCCTTTTATTTTTCTTTCTGCGCTTTCCAAGCTGATTTCCTGAGAACTCGTGGGATTCCCCTGTGTGCTGGGCCTGCCCACGGCCCTGCAGGCCTGACTGGGCCCAGGCGTCCCAGCCCTGCACTCCCTGTGTAATGTGTGCCGGCCACGCTCCTGCAAGAGTCTGTTTGCCTTGATTAAGAGAATGCTTTGGATTTCATCGCTTTAGAAACCGGTGGCTGGGAAGATTATGCGATTACAGGGCCCCGGTCCTGTAAACATTTGCACATACTTGACGTGATTTCAGCTGTGTGTTTCTAATGGTATAAGTGAAACGGCTGATGTGAGTAAGGCCCTGCGCATTTAAATGCCTGCAGGGTTGGGGCTGGAGATATCGGCCACGTAGGAGAGGAAATGACTTGACTTGGATTATCTGCACTTCCATTTTCCTATTTTAATGACCGTCCATGCAACACAAACACGGAGCAGGCAGTGGGGAAAGATCAGTGTGATAAGACTCAGTATTTCCTTGGCCCTGCGGTTTGGGGTGGGACGTCATGTATTAGCTAATACTGCAGCTGTATCCTCCAACACAACACGATGACAAAACCTGACATCCTCGATTCTGTTAGGGACAGCCCTATTCTTCTATGCAACATTTGTTCTTCTTTTTCCTTCCAAAGGCAAAGGGGGCAAAAAGTTTTGAGACATTACAACCTCAGAAGAAAAAAGGAGAACAGCAGCACGCCAGCCCCATTTCCTCCCCAGTGCATGTTACCATTAGCGTTACAGGTAAGACAGCGGATTTGCTGCTTCACCACGTTTTGTGTGTTTGAAATTCTGCTCTCAACTCTGTGTTGAGGTGGACCTGTGCACTACAGTTACTTCTTCATTTCGTGTGGGTTCTGTTGCTTTCCTCCAAACGTAGCAAAGGGGAGAAGAAGCCTTCAGATGTGGCACTGTTAAGCTGCACCTTGGGAAGCTTTATGCAACTCTGATCTCATCCGCCCTGTAGATATGCAGCCGTCCTGCCGTGTAGCAATCCCTTTGCACAACCCCAGAAGATTGACAGGCTGCTCTGCAGCTTCAGGTTTAGTAACATATTTTGCCAAGTTTGCACAAAGTCTGTTTTGGCATATGAACATGCACTATCCTGCATGAAAGAAAAAAGCCCGTTGAAGCTCTAGAGCCCTGTCCTTCAAAGGCACATATGCTTAAGTTTAAGCATGTGTTAGTGCCTTTGATTGGGAGATTTCTCAGAGTAGGCACTATCAGCCTCGATATTCCTGGACTGCCTGAAATTGTTTTGATATCTGTAGCTTTCTGCCTAATTGACGCGCGGATGCCATCCGGCTTGGAAGCTGCTCGTGCCAAAAGTGGTCTTTAATGAAGATATTTATTTTCCTTTTTTTCTTTCTTTCTTTCTTTTTTTTTTTTTTTTGTGAGTTTACATCTAATTTTGGACCATTCCGAATTTTTACCATATATGGTCAGGGCTCCTTTTCAAACTTTGCCAAAATGAAATGTGATGATTTATAAAAAAAAAAAAACACAAAACAAAACCAAAAACCTAAGAGAGCTAGTTTGCTAATCCCCATTGTTCAGGAGTCATATTTTGCTGTATGCAATATCTAACTACACAAATGTTAGCTTCTTTTTTTCACAGAGTCATTTGTGCTCGGTGGATGGTCTGATCGGCTGATGTTCAGAGTTGGATGCTGTTCTTTTTCTCCTCTGGCCTGTTGTGTGTTTTTTGCCCTCTGTTGGAAGCGCTACAGATGACAGATATTTTGGGTTTAATGACACGATTAAGATGCCTTCAGTTCAAATACGTGCTGGTCAGCTTTTGAAAAGTCTCTGTGGAGAGAGGTTCTCTCTCCTTCCTGCTCCTGTCCTGTAAAGGACAATTATTGTAACAACACTGCTCTCCCCTATCAACATGCTATGAAGGTAGAAGTGCTAAGTATTTTAATCCGTTATGCAATCATTACCTATTTTTAGAACCTGAACCATTTTTTTATGTTCTTTTTACAATGCAAATGTGCTTTTATTGAGGCTCACAGAACGAACTGTTTAGAGCACTTGAGCCGCAGGGAACAGGAATGAGGATCTGTCAGGGTCTGTTTTAACATGACGTTTGTAAAAGGTGGTGTGCAGAACATAAAGATCAGAGAACTGCTGCGAGCCACTTGTAAATTAAATGCTGGAAAAGCTCTCTAAAACCTGCAGTATTTCAAGCAGAATGAAAGGAGATGAAAGACGTTCTAAATGCAAATGGTAGCCCAGCTCTCTTAACGATGGCATTTTTCTTTCTTTGCCAGTAGGGCCGTACACCTGCAACTCAGACAGCCATGGAGAAGAGCGGGAACATTCAGCTGGAAATTCCTGACTTCAGTAACTCTGTCCTGAGCCACCTGAATCAGCTGCGCATGCAGGGTCGCCTCTGTGACATCGTGGTCAACGTGCAGGGGCAAGCTTTCCGCGCTCACAAGGTGGTGCTGGCTGCCAGCTCGCCCTACTTCCGTGACCACATGTCCTTGAACGAAATGAGCACGGTTTCCATTTCTGTCATCAAGAACCCGTCTGTTTTTGAGCAGCTCCTTTCTTTTTGCTACACCGGTCGGATATGTCTGCAGCTGGCTGACATCATAAGTTACCTAACGGCCGCCAGTTTCTTGCAGATGCAGCACATCATAGACAAATGCACGCAGATTCTCGAGGGAATTCATTTCAAAATCAACGTGGCGGAGGTGGAAGCAGAATTGAGCCAGACCAGGACGAAACATCAGGAGAGACCCCCGGAGTCCCACCGGGTGACGCCAAATCTGAACCGTTCCCTGAGCCCCCGTCACAACACCCTGAAAGGGAGCCGCCTGGGCCAGGTTAGCACAGTGCTGGACATTCGGGAGCTCAGCCCACCGGCAGAGTCCACCAGCCCTCAGATAATCGAGCAGAGCTCGGACGTGGAAAGCAGGGAACCCATCCTGCGGATTAACAGAGCGGGACAGTGGTATGTTGAGACAGGAGTGGGAGAGCGCGGGGGACGGAACGACGATGACGTCCGGGTGCTGGGAGGAGTGCGCATTAAAACAGAGAACCTGGAGGAGTGGCTGGGGACAGAGAATCAGCCGTCAGGAGAAGATGGCAGCAGTGCTGAGGAGGTCACTGCTATGGTCATCGACACCACGGGCCATGGATCAATAAGCCAAGAGACTTACACGTTAGGGTCCTCCGGGGCCAAAGTGGTGAGGCCGACCAGCAGTGAGATTGACAGGTGAGTTTTCTTGAGCTTATTTACTGACCCTGGCTGTATGAAGAGATTGAGCAAGATTTTC